CTGAGCCAAAGTCGGAAGCTTAACCGACTGAGCCACCCAGGCGCTCCAGTCTGTGCTTTTTTCTTAAGGTACAATCTAAGGACAGTAAACTTCCCCCTTTATGTGGACAGTGCTTAGACTTTGACAAATAATACACGGTAGTCAATCATCCCGCCAGGCTCCATGCCGGGCGCGGCCAGTGGCTTCTGTGATCTCAGGGGCCTCCGATCCCACCTGGCTCCGTGACCCTGTTCTGCCGAAGAGGGAACGTAGGTCCAGAAAAGAACAGTGATTCAGCCCCGTGTGACCACAGTGAAGACGGAGAGCGGTTCCCTCCCCGTCGGAAGTTCCCCCGTGTCCCCTTAGCGTCATCCCGTTCTCACACCCGTGGCCCTGTGTTCTTCTTTTTTGAAAATAACTTTTTTGTTTTCTCACTGTAAAAGCAATACGTTTTCATTGTAGAAAAATAGGAAAATAGAGACAAGGAAACCACTTCGGGGGATAGCCTTCCGGTTTTTTTAAATACATAGGTACCTCATTTTTCAACACAAACGGATATTCTACATCTCATTTTATAGTCTTGTAAAACCCCACACTGCGTGAGTATTTTCACGTATCCCATTCTTCTGTGTCGCGTCCAACGGCTGCGTAAGTCACTGCATTGAGTCCCATACTCATGCACTCACTCACACGTATTTATTCAGCACCTACTAGGTGCCAGGTATGTTCTAGGTCCTTGGAGTACATCACTGAGCAAAACAGAGCCCCCTGTTGAGCTTATATTCCAGCAGGGGTTGACAGACATTAAACAGAAATACACAAGTAAATTACATACTGTGTCACAGGGTGGCGCTGGCCGTGAAACAGAAACAAAGTAGGGTGTTTATTTATTTTTGAGAGAGACAGTGCAAGTGGGGGAGGGGCAGAGAGACAGGGAGACAGGATCCCAAGCAGGCTCCACGCGGTCACCTTCTCGAACTCACGGAACCACGAGACCATGACCTGAGGCTCAACCAAGAGTCAGACGCTTAACCGACTAAGCCGCCCAGGTGCCCCACATTCTGGGTTTTTTAATCCTTGATTCCTCTTCTCATTAGCATAGCTTGGTGGGGGAGGGGGGGTGGTATTTCCATCCGTCTCCACACCTCTGAAGGCAGATAGAACTCTCAGCCCCGTGACTTACTTGCTGTGCAGTCTTGGGCGAGTTACCTAACCTCTCTGAGCTTCAGTTTCCACCGCCGCATCTCGAAGGGGACAGTAACGTATTTTCGCCACGGAAGGCAGTTTGGTGGAGTGGGCAGGTAATGGCTTCCTGTCAGACCTGTGTGGGCCTGGACCAAGTTTCTTCATCTGTGTGATTCTTGGCTTCCTCATGTGCAAGGGGGAGCACCCTGCTTCCTCACGTGGCCATGGTGATAGCACATGAAGCCTGCGAGCAGAGGGCCCCGCACGTAGTGGCCGCCACCTTCTCACTTCACAGTCGAGGGGATGCGACTCGGCCGAGGCCACGCCGCCCCTGAGGTGGCGGCTCAGCACTGGAGGCCCTGTCCTCGCTTCTCGTGCTCACATGCGGGCTCCCGACTTGCACGGTCCAGGAGGGGGCGCCACCGAGTCGGAAAACAGGCAGCCTCAGGGAGCAGTCCCCCTCCGCCAAGTTCATCCTCTGATGTATGCCTCACACCCGTCAGCGGGCAGGCCTGGTTGTCCTCGTTTGCAGATGAGGAAACCGAGGCTCAGGAGGAGGGAAGGGAAGCAAAGCAGGTACCGGAACCCGGGTCCCTCTGGCTCCACACTCTGGGCCCCGCACAGGACCCCGGGAACAGAGGAGCTCACTGTCACTAAACCCTTAAACTTACGGAAGCGGCTGTTGTCCAGCTGGCGAGCGTTAGGACTGGGGACACGGTCCCCGAGAAGCCTGCGTCCCCGAGGCCATCACCCTGCCCCACCGCCCCTGCCGTATAAAGAATCTGGGACGGCTGCGTTTAAGAAAATCGGGGTGCCCCCTTGCAGTCTTACAGCAGGCCCCAGATTTCCAGAGGGCGGGAAGTTTCTAATGACGTGCGTGCTTCCTGCTGGTGCTAATGACATGAAGGGCGGCAGGGAGTTGGAGAGGGGACCTGTGCTGGGCAGCAGGGCAGCTCCGGGAAAGCTGCAGAAAGCCGAGGCCTCCGCACCCGCTTCCCGTTCGCGGCGCGTGGATCTCCTCAGGCCGTTCTCTCCGACAGGCTTGCAGGGACATGCCAGCCCCACGCAGCCGGGACTGTCACCTGCGTGCTTTACACGCGTCCCCGGTGCCTCGACCCACACTGCGCATCCAGGTTTCTCGCACAGTTAAGCGTGTTGGTCAAGGGTACCCAGGCCTTGTCCTCCCAAGAGCCTCCAGGGCTTCCGGCCACCTCTGAGCCGCAGACGAGCTGGCCAGGGGACTCAGGCACTTTGCCCGTTTGATCCGGGCCCTCTCCGCCCTTGGGTTTTAGGATAAAGTTACCGCTGACGGTGGAAGAGATCGCCAACTTCGGGGAGAGCAACAGGGAGCTGTTCGTGAGGTCCAGTACCTACAGCGTCATCCCCATCACCGTGGCTGAGGCGGGCCTCACCATCAGCTGGGTCTTCTCCTCCGACCCCAAGAGCATCTCCTTCAGCGTGGTCTTCCAGGAGGCCGAGGACACACCGCTGGACCAGTGTAAGGTAAGGCCGGCCCTCCGCCAGCGGGGTGCTTGGGCAGACCTTCCCTGGTGCGGGGCCGTGGCCGTCCAGCCTTCTGCTGGGCAGGCCTCCCCTGGAGTGTTTGGGCCTCGGCCGTGAGAGGAACGTGGAGAGAAAGCAGGTGGGCGGGCCCTCCGGGCTGCGTTCCACGGGGCAGGCAACGCTCCTGTTCTTGGCCGGCTTGGGAAAGGAAAGACCTTGGAGGCTCCAGAGCACTGTCCTCAGGCGTCTGAAGGTTGCTCCTGTGTCAGACATCTCCGGTCTGACCTTGGGACAGGTCAGTGGGTGAAATTGCGAAGAATACAGACATGTGACCCGGTTTAAGGATCCTTTTTTAGCCCGGCTGTGCAGAGCAAGAGGAGGGCACCGTGGGGGAGGTTAGGGGGCATGGGCCCCGGAGACCTTGCCAGAGACACCTGGCCATTGTGTCCCATTGAAATCTCGGTGGCAGATGCAAGCTCATGAAGTCCTAAGACATTCTCAGCGTGGCATGCTGATTATGGCCTGGACCACGGGTCTCAGTGTTGTCTGCACGTTAGAAACACCCAGTCCTCAGGCCACCGCCACATCACTCGGTCAGAATCCAGGCAGCGGGTAGCAGAGTGTGGACACACAGGCATCCCCAGGTGCGTCCGGTGAGCCTAGCTCCAGGGGCTTGGGAGCCAGAATAGAAAGGATGGGTGGGATCCAGAGCCCGGGACAGGAGGTTGAACAGGACTCCGTGGGTGGCTGACTGACTCTGCAGAGGGGAGAGGAGCTGGTTTGGGCGGAAATTCCTGTCCCGTTTGACACACTGTGGGTGGGAGGACCGGTGAGGACGGCCAGGCTGGCCTAGAGCTCAGAGCGGCCCTTAGTGGCTATACCGTGCGGAAACTTCCAGGTGCCAGCAATGGCGAGAAGAAGGGTGGGGGAGAGCAGTTTGAAATCGCCTGAAAGGAGCCTCCTGTGACGTCTGTGTGACAAAATCCCTGAGTCCCCCCTCACCCCCCGCCTGTGGGGCGCTGGCTGTGGGGGGCCCTCGGCGAGAGGCGGGGTGCGGGCCCGAGCTGAAGGAGAGCAGGCTCGCCCGTGCACCCCGTGCCTGTCTGGCTCGCTGTCGTGTCCCCTGCCCTGTTGGTACCGGCTCGTTGCAGAGACGACTCTGTCATTCCCGCCCTCTCCAAATTCACTCCTACGACTTAATTCCAGCCTCCTTGAGTTGGCCTTGTTCTGTGGAGCCTCTCATTCACGCTCTGCCCCCCCTTTCCCTTCGGGGGGCCCCTGGCCGTGCCGTGTTCCGAGCTCGGAGCCCTTACTCCCTGGGGTTCCGAGGCTGCCCCCGGGCGGTCCTGGGGCTTGCAGTCCGGGAGCGGGCACGGACTCCACCCTGCAGCTGGCGTGCAGGGCTCACGTTGGCAGATGAGGTCACTAAGAGGCAGAGTGGCTTGCCAGGGCCAGCGCCACGCTCAGCAGGAACTTGCCTCCGGTAGCCGGGCCGTTCGCCCCCACAGCCCCAAGACCTACCAGGGACCAGCACCACGTCGTCCCGCATCAGACACCGGTGGCTGTTTGTGGCAGGGACAGGGGAAGGGACTCAATCAGGCGTCCAGGCCTTTGCTGTTCCACCCGTCCACGCGTGGCCGAGCTGTGGGCCTCTCCCCTTGTTCAGTCGCTCACCCGCCAAACCCTCACGGCCCTGGGAGATCTGTGTGGTTCTTGCGGGCTTGGGGACCCGGAGGAAGCTTCCTCATCTCTGGCGTCCAGGTGACCTCCAGGGGTCAGGACTACCCGTGTGTTTCTCAGAGTGGACGCCAGGGGGCAGAAGGAGCCCGTACACGGGGCAAGCCAGAAGGGCTTTCGGGCGCTGTCTGCCTTCAGGAGCCCAGCATCCCCAGCCTGCCGTGGGGCTGCTGTTATTTCTCCCCGAGGTCCCCTGAACAGACATCAGCCTGGGAACCTGTTTCCAGGTGCACGTCCTCAGCGGCCGTCTCAGGGACTCCCCCTAGGATCCCCTGACCAACCTGCGCCTTACAGGAAACCCCGGGGTCCAGAGCAAATTGCAGCACCCAGAAGTGTGATTATGGAGGTGCAGACATGAGGGACTCGGGGTCTGCTCACAGCCACTTCCTGAGTTTCTGCTGAACCCCGGGCTCTGTCGCGCCTATCAGAGCTAGAGAGAGAGAAGGGACAACGTGAGATCTGCCCTTCAGGAGAGAGACCCTAGTGAACAGACAACCATGATTCCAGGTAGAGTGTCATGGTGGGGACGGGCGGGCACCTGGGGCGCAGCGATCAGGGGAGGAGGCCTTGGGCCACACCAGGAGACGTGCCCTGGTGGAGGGAGCCACACAGCACAAGGCCAGGCCCATCTCTGGCAGCCCGCAGCAGACACTGCCCCGTCCCCGGGCCCCCTCCTCTCCAGAGTGTTTCCACGGGGACAAGGTCGTTCCTCAGCACTGAGATCAAAGGCTGTGAATTTGGGAAGACCCTTGACCAGAGAAACAGTAAATCAAGGACTTGAGGCTGCCTGTGTGCCGACCGCTGTCTTAAAGCCTGGGGACAGAACAGGAAACGGGACCCAGGCCCTGCCCTCTCTCTGGGCGGGGACCCATGTTTGGCCAGAGAAACTCAACAGCCTGTCTGGGGCCACAGAGACTCAGGGGAGGGACCAGCACCGGCAGCAAGGACGCTTGACATTGTATTTTTTAGACAGCTTTACTGAGATACAGTTCATGTACCAAATAATCGACCCATTAAAATACAGTGTATTACAGCTTATGTAACCATTGCCACTCTAATCATCCCCAAAAGAAACATCATGGCCAGTCACTCTCAAACCTCCGCCCCCCAGCAACCACCACCGTGGCCTCTTGTGGCCTCTTGTGACTCACTTCTTCCATGTAGCATAGAACCCTCACTTTGCACGGGAGCCCCAGGCCACAGGAACCCGTCCAAATATAAATGAAACCAACTCGTGCTGTCTTGCAGATACATGGTGTAAATCAGGGCACGGCCACCCAGGCACTGGCGCTGGTGATGCACCCCCAGAGCTCGCACAGTGGAGACCTGCCTCGGGTTTATTCCAGAGACCACTCCCCGCCCCCCCATCATCTTCCTATCACTACAGCTGCATGAGCCTTGGCCAGAGAAAATCTCATAGATTTTGCCCCCGGTGGGAAAACAGGAATCAAGACGCGTGAAAAGTCTACAGAATAGAAACTTCTAATGCCCAACGAGCTCTCGGTGGTTGCTTTGCAATCAAGGCCGTAAATGCTGAGGTTGAGGTGTGGGGCGCCCAGTGGCCCCTGTGTCAACAGCAAGCCTTCCTGTCCAGCGGCTCCTTTCTGCCTGTGCTTGCTGGAATGTCCAGGCTCAGAATTGGTAGGTTACGGGCCACAGAAGCAGACCCAACCTCTCAACCTCTCAGAATTCTCAGTGCCCGATGGAAATAAGAATGCGAGAGACCGTTAATGGAACTTGAGGAGGCCATGTGCAGAAGTGGCCGCCCCAGAGCCTACACACAGTAGGTCCTCATTCATCCTGATCCCACCCAGGCCTGTCTTGGGCTCTACCTACTGCCTCTCCACCAGCAGCTCCCAGCCAGAGCAAAGGTACTGTGGCATCCGGAACGTGCCGTGCACAATTCTCTCCCATGCTTTTGGGATCTCCCACTTGATTTTTTTATTTCTCTTCGGCCCACAGGTTATTTAAAAGTGTGATAATTAGTTTATAAATATTTTGGTATTTTCTTTTTTTTTTTTTAATTGTTTAATGTTTATTTCTGAGAGAAAGAGAGACAGAGAGAGAGCATGAGCAGGGAAGGGGCAGAGACAGGTGGAGACACAGAATCTGAAACAGGCTCCAGGCTCTGAGCTGTCAGCACAAAGCCCGATGCGGGGCTTGAATGCACGAGCTGTGAGATCATGACCTGAGCTGAAGTCGGGGGTTTAACCGACTGAGCCACCCAGGTGCCCCAATATTTTGGTATTTTCTAGAGATCTATTCACTTTTTTTTTTTTTATTTCTTTTTTAACGTTTAGTTTTGGGAGACAGAGAGATAGAGCATGAGCAGGGGAGGGGCAGAGAGAGGGAGACACAGAATCCGAAGCAGACTCCAGGCTCCAAGCTGTCAGCACGGAGCCCGACGCGGAGCTCAAACTCATGAACTGCGAAATCATGACCTGAGCTGAAGTCGGCCGCTTAACCAACGGAGCCACACAGGTGCCCCAGAGATCTATTCACTTCTAATTTAAGTCCATTGCAGGCAGAAAACCAACTTTGTATAACTTGACTCCTTTTAAATATGAGTGTTGCTTTTTTTTTTTTTTTAATGGCCTAGAAGATGGCCTACTGTGTATTATCCCAAGCGCACTCGAAAAAGACGGTTTGTTCTGCCATGGTCAGGTGGAGTGTCCCATAAGCGGCGGTTGGATTGAGTTAGCTGATGCTGTTCTTTGAGTCTTCATTTCCCTACTGAGCTCCTGTCTTTTATTCCATCCATGATTGAAATATACAACCATAACTGTGAATTCACCTATTTCGCCTTGCAATTCTACCACTTTTTGCTTCGTGGGTTTTGAAGCTCGGTCATTAGGGGCATCGGTGTCAGGACTGGCCCGTCCTCTTGATGCACTAACATCTTTATCATTAGGAAATTATCCCTGGCCACATCCCTTGATATAAAATGTATTTCGTCTGATATTAGGGCAGTCAATTCACCCTTCTTTTGACTCATGCTATCACAATACATCTTTTTACATCCCTTGATTTTCAACCTATTTGTATCTTTACCTTTATTTTTTTTTTTATTTTTATTTTTTTAAATTTTTTTTTTCAACGTTTACTTATTTTTTTGGGACAGAGAGAGACAGAGCATGAACGGGGGAGGGGCAGAGAGAGAGGGAGACACAGAATCGGAAACAGGCTCCAGGCTCCGAGCCATCAGCCCAGAGCCTGACGCGGGGCTCGAACTCCCGGACCGCGAGATCGTGACCTGGCTGAAGTCAGACGCTTAACCGACTGCGCCACCCAGGCGCCCCTGTATCTTTACCTTTAAATCGTCTTTTCTTATAGGCATGATGGGGTTGGGTCAACCTGATAATCTTTGCCTTTTAATTGGGATGTTTAGACTATTTACATTTAGTGGGCTTATTGATCAGGTAATGTTTGAGTCTGTCATCGTCCTCTCTGTTTTCCATTTGTCCCATCTGGCTGTTGCTCCCTTCTCTCCAAGTGGAGACCTGGGGCAATTGTGGGGCTCACCTGACCCCAGGTCAGCCCTCGGTCCAATCGGAGCCAGCCAGACTTATGGACTTCACCTCGAATAAGTCCCAGCTTCCTGAATCCATAAAATGAGTGGTCCTCCACATGTGGAACATTCTGGCACTGGCCATGGTCAGAGAGTCTGGGGCACTCCTTTGGGGCGCTGACTAGTTCACGATGCCGGGTGAAACTCATGCTCACAGCCTCTTCCCTAACACAGGTTATCAACAAATGCAGGGCATGTGGAAGACCCCTCCCCACTCCTGGGGCTGACCACAGCCCCAGCCTTGCTCCGCTGCGACCTCAGACAGGGCGCCTAGCCTCCCTGGGCCTAGTTCCCTCCCCAAAATAAAGGCTCTGCCCAGAAGACCTTTAGGCCCTCTCAGCTTCCCTGACAATTTTTCCAATCTGCTCTTCCTCCCAGGTCCTCATCCCCACGACCCGATGCAGCTCCCACAAGGAGAACATCCAAGGCCAGCTCAAGGTCCGCACACCAGGCATCTACATGCTCATCTTCGACAACACCTTTTCCAGGTAGGGATCCTTGCTCATTAACATCCAGAACAACTCACCTGCCTCCTGGCCCCAAGAACAGAGGTGGACATTTAAAAGAGACTATTTAATTATCAGTAACTTATTATTAATAGTTTGTTTTGTTTTGTTTTATATCTTAGACCCCTATACGGTGGTGGTTTAGGGTCTGTTATAGATTTTATAAAACACGAGCTAGTACTTACAGAGTCTTAGCTCATGTCAGGTGGTTCTCGGCCATCCACCCTTATTGACTCACTTACTCCCGACAACGCCCCCATGTCGGAGCGACCACCGTTCTCCTCACGGTGCTGCTAGGGGACTGAGGACCAGATGCGTAACAGAGTGACACTCAAGGTCACACAGCTGGCGGTGGTGGAGCCAGGTGGGAACCCAGAGGGCCTGCCTCCAGGCTCTGGACTCAACCGTATGCCCTCCTGCTTCTCGCGAGTGTCCAAGCTCCCACTGCCCAGCCCAGAGAAGGGGCTCAGTAGAAACAGTGGATGGTTGGATGGATGGATGGACGGACGGACGGACGGACAAGCAAGAGGGAAATGAATGGCAGGACTGGAGCTTTGAGGAGGAGCCCCTGGGCCTTCTCAGCATGGCAACGGGAGCAGCGCGTGCCTTCTCTGGGAAGCACTACATCAGAGCACCAGATATGGGTCAGCAGTGAAGGGCTGGAGGGCAGGACGTTGGGAATGTAGGGACACGAGCTGGAGGGGCAGCCGAGGAAGGAAGTGGAGGAGAAGAGCACATCGGTTGGGTGTGTGCCATGCGCCAGGGCCCCACATCCTGGAGACGGGAGACGGGGGTGGTTAAGGCTGCTGGCACCCATCCCTTTTGTGTCTTCTGGCTTCGGCCTAAGCCCTTGTCGGGGCCACCTTTTTTAGGAGACCTGCCTGACCGGCACCAGCCACACCCTCTGTGAGTGGGGCCCTGAGCTAGTGGCCACATCCCCCCCACGGGGCACCCTTCCCAGCCCGCTTGGCTTTTAGCAGAATGACTAGATAGCATATTCTAGAAGAGAGCCATACCACCCCTCACCACCTTCAGGCCCTGGACTCCAGGGCTTGTGGCCAAGGGCGTCCACACACGAGAGGCTGAGAGCATGAACTTCCACCCCCCCTTGCCCCCCTCCTTCCCCTCTCCTGCCCCTCCCCTGCCCCATGAACACACACACACCTTGAATTAGCAGGACTCACGGGCACAGGCCCAGCATTTCCAGAGAACGGCCTCCGAAGCTCCAAGTGACCGTGAGCCCCAGCCCCCTGCAGGGCAGCGGGATGGGGCAGCGGTCAGGCGAGTGGGTGCGGGTCTGCCAGGTGCGGGCCCTGCCCTTCCCTCTGTGGGCCTTAGCTGAGCCCCGTATCCTGTGCGGTGGCCGTGAGCACAGATGCCACCTCATGAGGATTCCCTGCGGGTTGTGGGCGCGGCGGAGGAGAGGCGCACTGAGGGCGGAACGCAGTCCTGCGCCCCAGGCAGGCTCCCAGTTACCGCTAGAGGTGGCCGTGCTGCTGTGACAAACCCTGGCCTTACGGCCTTGCAGAGAGTTCTGAACCGTGGACGGCAGAACACGCTCAGGTGGCCGGGGGGGCTGAAACCCATGCTCCCCCAGCGACCTCAGTGTCTGCTCTCTCCACCCACCCCCTCCC